TTCGGATCGGGTTTGATCCGAAAATCGTAAAATAGTTTTTAGTTAATAACTTTTATTTTTATTAAGACACTTGTATTTGGTGTAATTAGAGTTGTTCGGAATGTAATTGTGTATATACCCACAAATGTTCGTTTAATTCCAATTAATATGAACGAGAAATAACGATTTTTAGGCTGACCCGACCCGAAATGTGCGTTCCGGGTCGGATCACGGATTGGACTCGACCCGGTTGGAGCACTATATGAAACTATATTTAATAATAAATTGGGTTATTAAGATATTTTTGGTAATTAAAACAACTTTAAAACATTTATAAACAAATATAACAAAGAGATCACGAAGTGAATTATTCAATAAATAAATAAATTATTTCGGACTTTATTAAAGTTCGCAAAAATGTGACAATTTACATATAAATATTCTTCAAGCAAACAATTAGTGTTGGATAGTAAACTACATTTATATAACACATTAAATCTTACTGTAGATTTGTTAAAACTTTTGAATAAGCATAAAACTTCTAAAAAATCTATTAAAACGATATCTTTTATTTTTGAACTAATTTAAATAATGTATATATACGTACTGTAGTTGATACGTAAAGACACATACAGTATGTCGCATGTTAATCAAAAACAAAAAATACTATTTATTTACAACTTAATTTTAAACATCGTTATATTAATATATTAATAATTACAACAAACTTTATGATAACGATAAAACTTTTATAAAAAGTACAAAATAATACAGTATAAAACATATCACATGTTTGGAGTTAAAGTGCAAATGTAGCGGTAGCTTGTTAAATGATTAATCCAGCAGCTATCACATGTTAACAGAAAAAAGTGCAGATGATAAGCACGTAGATGACAATGGGCAATTAATTCTAAATACATGTAAAATATACTGTATATCAAAATTAAAAATTCTTCAAATATCTTATAATATTTAATTCATAATGCTTTAATTATACAGTGGTAAATAAATATTAGGTTCAGTTTAAATAGCTAATAAAGGTGATAACTCCTGGAAAGCAATTTAAAATGCATAAATTGAAACTTGGCAATTTAATTTCAAATGCTAAATTGAAACTTGGCAATTTAATTTCAAATGCTAAATTTTCAACTTAATTTCTAAAATTGACATGCAAAATGCCGTGATATAACTTTATTCGAGCTGTCTGGATCCCAGCACAGTTACACTCATGTATATACATGTAGTAGTAAATCAATCCCGTTCAGAAAATTTCAAATTTTGTTTATCAAAGCAGGTTTATAACTGTTCCTTAACCACTTTCTATGACTGTTCCTGGAACCAAATTCGGTTTATGCAGGTTTTAATTTGAGCTTTGGTTTAACGGGGGGTTGAATGTGTAAATGTTTCTATCTTTAATTTTTTGTATATAAACTCGATTATAATTTAAAATTGATAAGGAGAGAAGGATAACAATTAGGGGGTGGGTGTTGTTAGATAGAATGACATGTTCCGATGACACATGATCTACTGGTAAATTTGGATTGGTACTTGTTAGCCAAATGTGGGAGTACATGTATTATTATCATTACAATTATGTGATCTTTAATTGAATTTCATCATTATTTTCATACCAATAAATGATTTACCTAAGTACGTACATGTAAAAGATTACCCACAAACACATGAATGTTCTCATCCCGAGAGAAGTTTATATCGAATTTACTATTGAGACAGATAATTTATGAAAAACATGTTTAAATACATACATCATACGCTTCCTGAACTGATATAAAACGAACGGGAATGGATTATTAATTGACGTGTACCATACAAAGTCTGTATCACGATAAATTTAGCTTGTATGAGACAAAAGAGGCGATCAATTAAAAGAATAAAAGAATTATGCTGGAGCTGGACTAAAAACATGCTTTTTCCGTCGCTTTTAAATGCAAACAAATGAACTGATTTTCATGAGAGAATAAAGGATGTCTATTGCAAAAGAATAAAAACGCGGATTACTCATTTCACTGACGCACATGCATTCTGTTATAAATATTATTGTTTTTTCCTCGTATATTTGTTTGCTGTACGTAACAGATATCTGAAGATACACGATTTTTTAGGCATTCAATGATATGCGCATATTTGTAAAATTATATGTTGAAATAAGAGATTCTCGACTTTTCTTAACAGTTAGATGAAATCCATCAACTCACCGCCATCATCTTAAAAGTTATCCGCGATAGCGCTTTTCAAAGACTCTTCTAAGTTACGATAGAAAAGAACCTAATTCCCACGAGACCGGCCAGCAATTAAACTTTGCCAATTATAATAAGAGCAAAACGGTAAAAATGAAGTTAGTAAGAATTCCGTTTACTGAAGCGGGTACGGTAGAGGATCAATATTCGCTAGAACTTGGCGGCCATGTAAGAGAAAAAATGCAATTTTAATTCTACCACACTATTGATGTTCTCTCATTAATCACTAACACCAAATAATTCCAATTACAAAAGATGACACGTCAATTATTCAGCATCAGAATTCGCCAATTTAATGAAGCAATAACCGCAGTTCGTCCACTAAAAATATTTAGATACTTACCATTAATAATATTTCAAATATCATTACTTATTACTGTCTCGATTTTTGTTAAATACGAGTTAAACATTAATAATAATGATTCTGGCGAGGATAATAATAACAATAATATTGGATCATTGCTACCTCAAATATATGGTGTAGTGGGAGCAATGATTTTTGGATTTATTATTTATGCAATTCTTAGCAGACGGTATAATAAAAAGGTATTTATTTCATTAATGGATATTCAGTACAATAATCTGTATATGACTGAAATTCGTCTGCGATTTTATTGTTATAGATTCAAAAAGCAATAAATCGTCAACTGGATGAATTCAATAGAATCGATAATCCGAAGCAATTGAATTGGCGTGTAGTAACAGAAAGTTTCACCTACAATGAATGGCAATTTTCCGGATCATTGAATTCAGTGTATCAAATGGTAAATACCAGAATTTTATTATCTTCTCAATATCGATAACAAACATACTAATGCAAATACTATTTCACAAAGGTATTAATTATTGAAATTGGCGGAGAATCAGACTCGCCTATTATAATTGTCAAATCGCCAGAAGAAGCGCATATTAACAATTCTTTTGAAAAGCAAATGAAACAAACTAAAGATAGTAGCAACGACTATTTTGTTATTTATGACAATGCTCCGCCAGCTTATAACGAGAAAAATTAATGATAATTAATGGTTTGTCTATTTTAATGAAATAATATTCTATAGATAATTAATTCTACTAATTTAATTTATAATTTATAATTAATATAATGTATTTTAATACATGTAATTAAAGAAAAATCTTGTTAATTGAAGACACTGTATTATTTTTTATCAATAAACTTTGAAGATTTTTTAATTGCCACACATAAATCCCATATATTTCTAAGGATGTCTTTGCATAAAATTTAAATTTAAATAGAATAAATACAACGATAACCTCAACATAAATGTGATCATTAACGTCAAATGGCATATACGTAATCGCAATCTCCAATCACCCAATCATATGAAGTAATGATTAGCCTGACAATTCCAAATCTTGGAAAAATAAAGCTTTATTTCATCAGATGAACTCATTTTCCCGCTGATATCCTTTGCTAACAACAATCTTGGACATGACAGTCGGCTGTCGTAAATTCACCAAGGATGAAATATATAATTACTGTATTTAAAAAATATGGTAGCTTTCTCAATCATGGTATTTTTAAGTAAATTTGGTTGGAATTAATAACTTTGATACTTCAAAAAAAGTAAGTGTCTAAATTGACCAGCACAGATTTTCGGAGAAAAAGAGCAGGAACAAATACAAACGAAACAATGCTCGGGTATGGTGGTAATGGTTGAGCTTGTTGCGGCCCTACTGGGAATCTAACCTCTTGCTAGCAGTATATAACATTACTGATTATATAATTTATTTATTTATTTATTTAAATTATTCAATTCTCAGGTACTGCTTTTTTAAAATGAATAACCAGTACATTTTATTCAAACATAAAAAACAGCCATAAACTATTAAAATACAATAAATAACCAATTGGACTACCATCTTGTACCGTACAAAATATTATAGGAACGTTAATCGAATTCGGGAGATATGGTGAAGCATGGTACGATATGAAGGGATTATTGATAAAAAATACAATAACGATGATGGTGCATAACATCTAAAGTCATCAAATGTTTGTATTTTATAAAATGTATAAATAATAATGCACACGCACGTACCATTCATGCAATCCTTTCCATTGATACATACTAGGTACAAATCAATGGGATATCGTATAGACGTATAGGATATCTTATACGTAGGGCTGTTAAAAGTCCGATCCTATCCGTCCCGATTCCAAAAGTCAGAACTTTGATTAGGACTCAGTCCCAAAGTTGAGCTCATGCATATTATCGAAAAGAGAGATCTCTCTTTAATATAGTACATAACTCTTTGATAGATGCGAGCGATGATTAAAAGGTTAATAAAAATTGGCAATTAATTAATAGTTTATTTAACATGCAATGATTAACTCTTAATTTACATATAAAAGTGAAATAACTAATTATAAAAGTGAAAAGTGAAATTTCGAAAAAGTGAAAAATAAAAAGTGAAAAATTAAAAAGTGAAATAACTAAA